CTAAATTGTCAAAGTTTTAGCGATTTGGTGTATATATATATATATATATATATATGTGTGTGTGTGTGTGTGTGTGTGTATATATACACCGTATCGCTAAAACTTTGACACTTTAACGATATATATACAGCGATATGCAGAAATTCTGATGCTCAATAACGATAACGCGGTAGACTAAGAATAAAGCAAAATATCCTGTCTAGAGTAGCTCATGAACAATTTTTGTACCACTTTTGTCATAAGTCATATTAGCGACTGTTTTGGTTTTGCTGTCCTCGGAGTGATTGATTGTTTTAGAAGGGCACATATAAATAAGCGAAGAACGAGTTCAGAATTGAGTTTAGCTCAACCGAAACTTCCAAAAAGAGCGATTTCAGAACTGATTTTAAACTCAGCCAATTGCGAAACTTCCAATGTTTTACTTTACATCAATAAAACCGTTTACAATGTGACATTTTTTCTAGTAGCGTAGAGGTATTAAAAAGTGAACATATAATTCCCGCCTCTTGACTTTAGCGTGTTCATAAACAACACTCGGTAGGCCAGCCAACGCTTTGGTACTTGAATTTGAATCCCGCGGGTCTATTACCCATAATGCACCCTATATAGTTATATACTTGGTTGGATCAGAATTTCTGCATATCGCTGTATATATATATATATATATATTTAGCATATACCAACTTGTGTACTTCCTAAGAACACGCGCGCTCATTGGTTAATTGGAGGTGAATATTGTACGATATTCACCTCTGAATCTCGGAATATTGAGTCTGCAACAAAATGGCATCTGCCGGCAATCGTTTTGCTACAATTTCGGATCAGGAAATTGAAGAAATGAAAGTAAAAGCCATTCCTATCAATAATAAAGAGTCAACGAAGTATGGCCTAAACGTTTTGCTAAAAGTTTTGTGTGAATTTGTCACGCAAACTGCAAGTTTCTGTTTGTTTTTATTGAATTATTGTATATATAAAAATAAGTTCTTACTCTGTGCACAAGTTGGTGCTCCAAGACTCGCGTCGGTAAAGTTTCCCCGATATTCACTTCGCCTTCGGCGAATAATTGCTAAATATATACTGATAAATAAGCGAGCGTGGTTGTTGCTGACTTTTCAGCGTATCTTCAAGTAGCACATAGAATCTGGACCTAAAAGTCGAATAATACTTGCAAAACCTTTTATTTGACCGTATGAAGATATGGAATGAAAGCTGTGATAAATAATATTGGTAAATTATTTAAAAAATTTATAAAATTGGTATTAGCAATTAAAACTTTTACTTCCGATTGTATTTTCATCTTTAAGATTAATCTTAATTGGGCTGTAGTGCCTATTGGGAGCTTCGCTTTTAGGCAGTGCCTAAATTTATATATTAGGTATTTTAAAAATTCATCAACCCCAGCGTTTCCCTGCAGTCTATTCAAACCTTACCTGTGCTTTGAGTTTGTATCTTGCTTTAAAAGGGTGTGCATGTGACCTGAAATATAAGATGGGATTGCATATAAACTTCAATAATTATTATTACACAATATAATTTTCTACTTACTTTCGGATCAAAGCCGTCAGAACAAATGGACTTACTAATACCCTAACTAATTTCCACCCTCTTGTTGGGCATTATGCTAACAGATATATTTTGGTCTCCTGGAAACGAGAAATAAATTAAGGTTTCTTTTTAATTACCTAGAAGTTAAATGAAGTATCAATAAAAATGAAAATTAATGATCCTGGACGCCATTAAGGATCCATGGTTTCATAGGTGCTTGAAAAAAATTACCTTTTTTTGCATAACAAACGACTCCAGCAATTTTGCTGTTGGGACAAGATTGGCTTGCAAAGCTAGAGTGAGTACATTCGTCGGTTGAATTTTCGTTTCCATGGCATGAAACATCTTTCAGCCATGCTGTATAAGAGAGTTGATCATAACTTTTTGCTGTTATTGCTCCTTGATATCCAAGCATTTTGCAGACAACATTAGCTTCATTTGTACCAAATCCATTACTACAAATATTCCCCCAGGTACCATATTTGATTTCGACGCGACCTTCATTTTCGTAAGTTCCGCCCTGTAGACGGACTGGAAAAAATATACAAGTTCATGTTGAATTTGGTTGTCGTAAAAAATGACCTGTCCAAATATTTTAAATTGAAAATCATTTTTACCTTGCGATCCAGAACATTGAACAACAGCATCATCATTGTGATTGTTGCAGTAAGAACTAACAACTCCCCAACCAGCGTGAGGACAGTCCTTAAGTGATGCCTCTGATCCTGTACACACCATGTCGTCCAGCCAGACTTTACCTTGCTCTCCATGTCCACAACACCAAGGATATACAGTTTTGATGAAACCTAGTTGTCTACACGCAACCTTGGCATCATCCCAACCCCAGGAATCATCACACACTGTTCCCCATTTTCCACCATGGTACACCTGAACAATACCAGAAACACCAAGCAATCGTATATTACTGGCGGCGTTTCCTGTAAAAGAAAAATAAATTGAATATAATAAGAATGCAGAACTTAAAGTATTTTAGTTTGAAAAGTCAAAAAAAGATTCTTAATGTATATTTTTATATTTATGACTATGTATCGTTTATTTATAAAAGGTATACAATACTTTTAAAATAAGTTTATCATTACCTGTGTAACCAGAACATTCAACAACAGCATCATTTGTGTGACTGTTGCAGTGAGAGTTCACAACTTCCCATCCAGGGTGAGAGCAGTCCTGAAGTGAGGCTTCTGAACCTGTACATGCCATGTCGTCCAACCAGACTGGTCCCTCTCCTCGTCCATCGTAGTCGTAATTTACAGCTTTGGTGAAACCAAGTTGTCGACAGGCAACATGGGCTTCATTCCAATCCCAGCTATCGTAACACACTGTTCCCCATTGACCATTGTGGTAGACTTGTATAACTCCCCAAACATAACCCCGTGTATCCGGTCGAAGTCTTATATTCGAGGCATCTAAAAAGATAGTATAGTATTTTTTTTTCTATTTAAAGACAAAGCAATTAGAGTGTTTTAAATGGACTTTGTAATTGTCAAACAAATGGAAATTGATACTTTGTAAATTTTGTAATGAACATCATTCTTTGCAAGTGGAGTTTTCACTTAGTACTCGAGATTCTAAAATACAAAGTGTTATTAGAAATAGTTTTAATATTAGTGTGTGAAACGTTTCTAAACTCTTAAAGGCTTGTTAATATAAAACTCTTAAGTATTAAAAAGGTTCAGGTTACGCTTTAGTAATTTTACTATTGATTTCTAGTGAAAAGTATAACCCCAAATGTGTAGTTTAAGAATTCATATTGATGAATCGTGTCTAATATTCGTTTTGGTTGGAAAAGTTTAACGTGTTACTATTAGTTATGATTTGAACTGATCCATTTACATTAATTAGTATAAGTTTTTTTTATTGTGTTATTTCGTCTCTCTTTTTCTATCTGTGTTTTTTCTTTGTAATTTTTCATGTAGAGAAAAGGTCAATTCGAAGATTGTTGAGCTTATTGGTACTAAATTTAAGTTGTATCATCCAAAAAAAAAAAATTGGTTATAAAGTGGAAGAGTTATGAACTTTCTAAGGAGTTTGCAAAACATTTAAAACAATCAAAAGCATTCACACCTATCTTAAATAAGATTTTTTTATGCTAGATATCTAAAATTGATTCAGTAAGTGCCTATTTAAATTAAAGTCAAAACGCTCGTTGGAAATAGAATTTCACCCTGAGATATTTAGATATAGATTGATAGAGATATACGTTATATGACTTTTTCATTTCTTTTTTCTATTTGAAATACGGTCTTGGGAATGGCAGATTGCACACACCCTTAGTTGATATTTCATTACGAATATAACTTTTCATAAACATTTTCTTAAATTTTGAAAATGAAGAAAATGGAATATAAAATGTCATATATTGATACATATATAAACATATGATATAAAATCCATAACAAAATGGTTTAATATCAGTCTGTAATTCTTTTGTGTATTGTGAGAAACAATTGTGCAGAAAGCTTCTTTAAACTTCTGAAATATACTTACCAAGGAAAGAAATGGATGGTATGAGAGATAAAAAAGCGAAGAATAGCTTAAAGTGGTCCATCGTAGCTTGATTTCTCACCCGTATAGCATAAAGCTCCCCTCAACGAATTATTTGTTTGACCTTCGAAGTGAGAAGGAAGAAAGCTAAACGGCAACTGATGACTTGACATCGGTAGGCTTTATATATACTCCATGTCAGGCTATTGTTATGGCGATGTTTTTTCAGGTGTGTCAGCAACGATGTTTCGATTTTCATGTGGCCAAAACCAAAAAAGCGGAAAACGAAGTAATTGTTTTGGAAATTAATGAGAAGCTTAATAAGGAAATAAACAATCACCCTAGTAAGAAAGAACCATTTTACAAAACTATACAATCTTTACTAAGAATAAAAACAATACCAATGCAACCGGGATGTTAAATTTGGTGTTTTAGATCAACAAGAAGTTTTAAAATTTGTTCGTCCCTTTGGTGGAATATTTGTGTAACTATAATTTCTTACTTGATAGCGAAACATCGTTTTCTTGTAGTTTGTGCTGTTTCAGTTTTACAAATCCAATAACGTTAGCAATAATGTGATGTTTGTTATTTCCGTAATAATGGGAATTTTGTCACAAAGGTAATGAACAGTCAACATGTCATTAAGTAAGAAAGTAATCACTTGCAGATTTTTAACATATTTTTTCTAATTATTAGCTTTCATGAATCATATCCTCAAATGGTTGTTGTTGCCGCTTCGAAAATAGTGATTTTACATATTTTTTTAAATAACTTGCTTAAAGCATAGCTAAAATTTGTTCTGCTTCCTTGTTGCACTATGGACTATGCATGGACATTTTTCTTGCAATCGTGAAATTTTTTAGGTTTTCTGTTAGTCGTTTTTCTTTTCCACAAATTTGTGTTTTCTCCTGACGATATGGTGTTTTTCAATAAAATATAATAATATATTTACTATCCGACGCTTATACGGAAATTTTGCCTGTTTTTCCGGCCGACAATGTTTTTTTCTCCATAAGCATAAAGTTTAGAATCTATTATTCATATTTAGTGCAGAGTTTTTGCTGAAAATCCGAATTAGAGATTGAGTGGTTACAAATTATGCAGTAATATGGTTCAGCGAATGCATCTGCTGTTTTAAGCAATCTAAACTTCTTTCGTTTGTAATTCTTGAATGTGTTGAGTTTTTTGTGTGCATTCTTCGTAAGAAAATAAAGGTAATAAACGATAAATTTAATTTGTAGAAACATTAAATTGTTATTCGAGTTTTTGCTGTGGTTTTCTTTCATAATTTAAAAAAACGTTTCATATAAACCGAAACGGGGGAGGATGTTGAATGGTATAGATCGAGACAACCATTTGGTATACACGCACAGTCGAGAAAGCCATTGAGATCCAACTCCACCCTGATAACATCAATAGGGGCAGTGGAATAGAAATCCCTGGAGGGTGGATACCGACGATAAGAAAGCAATCTGGACGGAGACACAAATCAAACAGCCAATCACAGCACAAACCGACAAAACCAATCACAGCACAGGTGTTCCGACGAGTGCTGCATAACAGACACCCCATCTGGCCACACCATCGCCTGATGAAGATTAGCAGTTTGCAGTCGAAACGTCGCGGTCCTCCTACAAATGAACCTCATTAATCGTGAGACAAATGAATAGGTATTACTTAATACAACTTCCACGACGAATAATATTTTGTATTCTATTTATATAATGCAATAGGTGCTTTAAAATTCTAAATTAACGACAATTCTACACCGGAGGAATTGCGGAATTTAAACACACCCAATAAAGATAATAATCGGCTTCTACATCCTTGGAGTCTGGCAATTAAAACGGGGAGAGTCGCCACACAAGTCACAAACTTACTGTATCACCTTCAAAGCCAGATGGTGGTAATATTACGATGTTCGTGCAATAGTAGTAATACACCATACATTCCATATTAATCGATTTAAGACATATATCAATCAATTTTATTCGTACTTCAAAGTTACAATGATATAATTAAATAAATTAAGTATGACAGAGTTAAAAGTACAGACCATCGGTACTTAACCATATAGGCTAGACAAAGACAGATAGCGAGACTTAGTATTAGCTAGTATAGAATATATATATATATATTATTCGTACTTCAAAGTTACAATGATGTAATTAAATAAATTATGACAGAGTTAACAGTACAGACCATCGGTACTTAACCATATAGGCTAGACAAAGACAGATAGCGAGACTTAGTATTAGCTAGTATACAAAGAGATATATATATATATATATTGTGACTTGTGTGGCTATATATATATATATATATATATAAGGCTATAACCCAAGCAAAGGGAAAAGAAAAAAGTATTTCCTTATTTTTCGACTACAATCCTAGGCTACCAGATATAACAAAGATAATAAGATCTCATTCTAAAATTATCTCTAATTCTGATCAACTCCAGGAGATTTTTCCTTCCAAATCTATTATGCCTGCTTTTAGAAGAACTAAAAACCTTAAGGAACTTCTTGCACCTTCTAGATACAAGACCAACAATGCTCAAATAAATAACTATTAATAATGTTTGTTTTAAATGCAATAAGAAGTGTGATCTTTGTAAGAATTTCTTGAAGCAATCGGATAATTTTAGAAGTTTTTCCACTGGTCACACTTATAAGATCAAACAGCCTATTACGTGTAATTCCACTAGTATAATCTATCTTATTTCTTGTGATAAGTGTAAGCTTCAATATGTTCGTTCGACATCCAACCAAGTTAAAGTTCGCTTTCGAAATCACAAATCAGCTATGGTCGCCAACAAAGCTAACTGTGAGGTAGCTATTCACTATAATAGTAGTCCTCATGAACTTAGTGAATTCACTTTCATTTGCATAGAGCAAATTATTGACTTAGATGATATTGACGCTAAGCTCTTGCCTTGGGAGGCCTTTGGGCCACGCAGTTACGTACGTTACGTCCCAATGGCCTCAACAAGAGACAGGAATTTAAATCTAAACGTAGAATTCAGTTTTCATTCTAGTGTTTTTTCTATATTACAATAGATTGCTGCAACCTTCCTTGTTATTCCATTCTCCAAGGTGGTTGCACCTTTCACTTTTGTTTCATTATATTTCATTATCTTACAAAAGACTGATGTAGACCATGGTCCATGCTTTTCGCCTGAATTTACTGGTTACATCATCCTTTTGTTCTTATGCCCTTTATATACTAGTTGTTTGGCTATTCATTCTTTACTTTTTTACTTTTTATCCTCATATCAAACTTTCCACATAGAAAAGTTGTCGTTCCGCTCGAGCTGTTTCTTTTACCATATATGGAATGTACTTACCATATTAGGAAATTGGAATATAATTTTCTTCACTAAATAGGCGAATTTCTTGCTGAAAACTGCTCAAATTTACAGTAAATCGAGTGAAAACATCACTAACTAGTCAGCCATCTTGGTTTTGGCCGAAAAAAGACTGAAAATTGTGTAGGGGAGGGGAGCGTGGTTTGTCACCACAGGAAGCCCGCGAATGACAACAATTGTTTGATGTGGTATATATCTTAATTTTTCTGTAGAAGGCCGAATGGCCGAAACGTTAAATACAATTTTTTGGAACAGTTAGAAGTTGCTTGTTTTCTATTTTTACTTTTATATACTAGAATATTTCTATGAAGAGAACAGGCTGTTGAATTCTTTATTTAGAATACTTCTACTGGAAGTTCATCGTTGATCTACCATCTATATTCAAGTTT